GGCTATAAAGTAAAATATTCACCACGTTATGTAAGAAAAAAAGATAATTAAGTTAGCTTATAAAGAAGCCCTCCAACACTTTTCACGACCTGATTGTTTTACTTGTGTTTCTAGCTGGATGCGTATCGCGAAGGCTCAAAATGTAAGTGCCGCTAGAATGGCAATGATAGGGGCATGCAATAGCAAGTTATTCATCATAGTGATACCAAAATGCAAAGAATTGGATGCTTACCCTACAGTTGATCTTCGCGGGCTCACTTGACTGTGTTTCCTTCGCCCTGTGACGTGGGAAGGCTGCCCAATGAAATCAACTGAAAGCCCTACCGAACAGGAAGCTTGCATGCGATGGTTACAAATCATGTGGTACTTGACAAAGGAACGACACGTGCGAAACGGAACAGCTCGCGAACGCTTCTATATTTTTTGTAGCTTTACTGATCTTTATTTTCAGACGGCGTCTATATATGCATGCTCCTATATTTTGTTTTTTCGTTACTGCGAACAACGGCGCCTAGAGCGTCTCCAGCGCCTGTCCTCCCGCACCGTGGCGCTCGGTGCATTCTTTGGCCAGCTTTGGTGTTTTCAAACTTGAAAAGCTGGAGAGCTTTATTGTCCTCTGCTTTCACGGAGAAATGACGCTAAAAATAAATCTAACAATAATTCATATTTTGATGCAATGCCACGAATAGATTGAAGATTAAATTTATCCAATCACAGGCCGGCGCCCTCCGTCGTCATTTCCGCGAGTGCCACTTCGAGTTATGCGATATTTTCAAGCGTTAGGGGACCCTTTAATGTTCAATTTCAGTGGAGGCACTGACAACTATGGTTTGGTGAACTTTTGTTTTACTCAGGAAGAAAGAAAGAAAGGTCAGCAGTGGGTATGTGTCATCTCGATGGCGCACACCCTCAAGAAACGAGTAGGCTGTCACTATAACTCGTTCAATAAACAACTCGGTAAATCGCAATGTAGTTATTTCCGCATGACATTTGTAACAAAACTTTTACCTTCTTTCTGTGAGTTTTATTTTTTTAGAAATGCTTCAAACTTGGCATCCGGCGCTTAGCTTCTTGAAGGACAATCGTTGTGTACTCGCCGAAAAATACCGAAGCGAATGGCGTACGATAACTACAAACGAGACAGTCAAGGCTAGTTTTTTTTTTGTTCTCCGAGCGATACTAGCACCGTGTACGCGTAGGTATGCAGACACAAGTACTCGCCCTGAAAAATATTTTTCTCGAATCATGCTATATATGGTGATGCAGAGGCCGAACAGCTCATGTGTAACTGTTTACATTTGGGCTTACTTTTTCGTATCCAGCCATGAAGCGTACTTTTTTGCGTACTGTAAGCCCTTTTGGCATCTATTTCTCTATCTAGCGAGCCGCCTACGTCCGGGTGCTCTCAAGATCACTCCCTAACTTGGCGTACAGCAATATTTGTACGGGTGAATAAGCAAATCAAAGTGGACGATTGAGCCAGTTGGTGATACATGATCTAAGTATAATACGTGGTAGAAAACACGGACGGGAAAAAAGACAAGGACAAGCACAAGGTGGCTTGACAAATACAACGTGCTGGTCATGACATGAATAATGTTCTAATCTTGTCACGTACGGCACCAAACACTTAAAAACAGTGGCACATACCCGGGGCCATGTATGTGCCACTGCTATGCGGGTATGTGCAACAGGTCATAGACATTTTAAATATACCAAGAAACAGCTAGAACACACAAGGGTAATTTTAACGCTTCAAAGTTCAGAAGAAGCTGACGTGGGCAGCCTTTACCGAGTGAGTGCAAAGAATAAATGTCAGTAACTCAGCAGGAATGGATCCCAAGCATTCTGCGGGGCAATCAAGTACTCTACCACAGAGCCATGCCAGGTCTCGAAACTACCTTTCAAATACAACCAAATTTTTGTGAAACATGTCCAATTTTTGTGAAACAATCAATTTTTGTGAAACATTTTGTGTGTCTGCTTGCAGTACTGACTATCAAACTGTATAAACATTACATATGCATACTCCCATGACACATCCGTCATGTCGGGTTAGCGTCAATTGCAGTTAGGCACCATACGCTAAAGTTAGGCGGAATCGTTGTAGGCCCGTGTAATCAGATTTGGGTGCACGTTAAAGAACCCCAGGTGGTCAAAATTTCCGGAGCCCTCCACTACGGCGTCTCTCATAATCAAATGGTGGTTTTGGGACGTTAAACCCCACAAATGAATCAATCATCAACCATACACTGAAGTTGATTTAAGTAGCAGTGTTGATGGCTACCATCCTCGTGATCCCCAGCGCAAACAGCAGCGCTTCATATCAGCTTAGCGCTTCTGGTGTTGCTAATACCGATGTTTCTGTCGGCACCTTTACGCAACTGCGCACAACTGATAACTGTACAATACTTTTTTAAGTAGATATGCTGCATGGGTAGGTAAATATCTGCATCAGATTTTCGTTATGTTTCTACGCACTTCGACTATTCCTGATGATTGGCGCTCGGCAAAAATTACTCCCGTGCATAAATCTTTTTGAGCATATTATTTATAAGGCCACCATTACTTACCTCGAATGTAACAATTTGCTTTATTCCAAACAGCATGGTTTTAGATCTGGTTTGTCAACTGTTACCCAACTGTCTGATATAACTGATGACTTAATTAGTACACTAAACACTAATGGTCCAACCGACGCTATATTTCTAGATTTGTCAAAGGCGTTCGATGTCCTCCTTCATCCCGATCTGATTACGAAACTTCTCTCAATTGGCGTTGAACAAAAAGTAGTCGCATGGATAGTTTGTTACTTATGAAATGGAACACAGTGTGTCGCCATTAATGAGTGTATCTCTGAAGAGTTGGATGTGTACTCTGGAGTCCCGCAGGGCTCTGTACTGGGCCCTCTACTATTTTAGTATATATAAATGATATTTATCTTACCGTTCTACCCCTTATTCATATTAAATTATTTGCGGACGACTGCGTAGTATACACAGCTATTAAAACCCGAGATGGCCAGATTAAATTAAACAATGCCTTGCCCTCAATTGAGACGTGATGTACAAAGTGGGGTTTAAGAATAAATACTACTAAGACAACTTCTACATTCAGCAACAAAAAGAGGCCTCTTGGCTTCACTTATTCTTTATGTAATGCTACAATCAACAGATCCGATAAGGTGAAATATTTAGGCGTCACACTTACAAGAAATTTCAGTTGGGAAACACACATTGATAACATTTGTCAGGGTGCACTCAAGAAATTGGCATTTTTGAAAAGAAAGTAGCGCAGTACTTCTCCTGCTGTGAAATTAAACGCTTAAAAGGAACTAGTATGACCTAAATTGGAGTATGCAGATGTATTTTCGAACCCTTACCAACAATACTTAATAAGTAAAATTGAAAGAGTACAAAATTTAGCTTTGCGCTTTGTTAATTCTGTTTATTTGCGTCACTCGAGTGTAACCACTTTACGTAATAGGGCAAACTTTCATACACTCGAGCAGGGTAGGGTCATATTTAGATTAAAATTACTCTATCACCTTTACTATGGTCACTTCAATATGCCACGGAAACTTTACATCTAAGAGCCTTTTAAACGAACAGCGAGAATTAATCACGGTAAGGCTATTAGGCAACCGATTAGCCACAATATTTTCCATTAGTTTTCTTTGTTTCCTCGAGTAATTTCCTATTAGAATATGTTACCTGAAGAGATTGTCAACTCTGTGTCATTAAAGGTGTTTTCTCAGCGTATTTGTAATATAAGCTTTGGTTAAAGTGTCGTTTCAAATTTGTTATTTTACTATATGCATACCATATTTTATGCTTACACGCGATTGCGTAAGCATATTTACGCCTCCCCTAATGTGTGTTGTACGTTTTAATATTACGTCAAGCAACACTGATGTATTGTCATGCTGTATGTCAAATTTCCGTCAACGTATTTCTTTGTTTTCACTCCTGCATGGGCTTGAGAAGGGCCTGCAGTACCTGTAAATAAAAAAAAATATGCGGTTGCTTAACGTGCGTGTGTGCCTAGATTTGTACATAAATTGAGCGCCACTAGATAACCTCTCGCTAAATACAAAAATTTTAACACGTTTGCCATGCGGATGATACGTAAGATCGTTCAAGATACGTAAGATCTGCCAAATTTTCAGGTATTGTGTTCATCGAGCCTTCGAAGCAACAAAACAAGAATATTAAAATTATACACTGTTGCAATTTCGTCTTTCTTTTGTTTCTAATGGACTACCAATGCAACACGCATTTGTGGTAAATTATAAGTATTTTGCATTAACTGCACGGGCCTGCACAAAATATGCTGTGCTTGTTATTGTTTGTTTTCTTTTATGTCTATAGCGTTCTATCTATTTCACCCGTTTTAATTTTATTTTTACTTTTTCTCGGAAACGGACTGATATAGTTTGAGGCAATGATACGTAAATACACACAACTATGAAAACAATTATTTGTCACGCTGGTGGTGATAAAGACCAAATCAACATTGCGTTTTTAGTAAATTTGTTGTTGTAGTGTTACACTTAAAGAAAATATGAGCAAATTTAAGGGTTTGTTTTCTTCTCAATAGACACAATAATAATTATAGGTAAACTAACAGACGATGGTTCCGAAAACATTTAGTGCATGTTAGTAGTAGTGATTTTGATGTTGAATATAAGGACAGAAAAAAAGATTACTTGCCGCTGGCCGGCCTGACGAACATTAGGGTAACACGTCCGATCTTACATATCATCTTGTTGCCTTTTTTCTAGAAAAGGAAAACTTGGAGGAGCTGTCCTTATTTTGTGGGTTCAATATCTCATGTTCGCCGAGTATTACGGTGAAACGGCAATGCACACCGGGTTAAGACGTGAAAAGGAACTTCAAGTTCAGCGCTGGTGTGGTCCTTTCGCGCTGCCGTAATTATGACCAACCAACTGAAGTACATTTCAAAAGAGTATTAAGAGTACGAACGCATGTTTATTGCAGGTTTACAAGTTGTTTTGAATTCCATTCTGAAAGCCATGGTGCCTTTGCTTCACATCGCTCTCCTTGTGGTGTTCGTCATCATCATCTACGCCATCATCGGACTCGAGCTGTTCTCAGGAAAACTGCATCAGACCTGCTACAACAATGCAACCGGTGAGAGGGGGCTTCACTTATACTCCGGCTTCCAAAACCAACTGAGAAGGGCTTGTAAACTACGAAGTAGTTTCGCCAGAACTTGCCACGTTGCTACTAGAAATGGTTATTGAGCTGGAATTGAATATTATTGTATTTCCCGCAAGCTGTTATCCATGCCTTGTTTTATGTTCTATAAGAAGAAATGCTCTCAATTATTTATTTACTTACCCATTCATTTATTTATTAATGCGAGCTTGTTTTGCAAGACAAATATGCAGGATGGAATTTCACAAACGGAAGTGTTGAAACAAACTTTGAATACACTTTGAGAAAGAAATGTGTTAAAAAATAATAAATCGGTCTTAAACAGTATTCACACCATGTGAAACACAAGAGAGAATAAATTATATAAAAGGCACGAGATACTTAAGGTAAAAATACCGCACAGAAAATACATAAATCTCATGAAAGAAAAATAGTCAATTTTGAACAAGTAGTAATAACGACAGGCGAAAAATTTACAATAAACGAAGAAGCTACAGGATTGTGCAATAGTCTCGCCGTGGTAGTCTTGTAGCTAAGGTACTCGGCTGCTGACCCGCTGGTCGCAAGATTGCATCCCGGCTGTGACGGCTGCATTGCCGATGAAGGCGGAAATGTTGTTGGCCCGCGTACTCAGATTCAGGTGCACGTTAAAGAACCCCAGGTGGTCTAAATTTCCGGAGCCCTCCACTACGGCGTCCCTCATAATCAAATGGTGATTTTGCGACGTTAAACCCTACAAATAAATCAATCAGGATTGCGCAATAGAATGCATGCTTACATATTTGTCTGCTCAGCAGCAAAAAGGATATATTTATGCTTGCTTTTGTTATATATCGCACGCTATCTCAATCAATCAATCAATCAATCAATCAATCAATCCATCACTGAAATTTCTATTTACAGCAGTAGTTTTACAATTTTTTTTTGGGGGGGGGATGGGTCCTTCAGGCGGAAAGCTGTTGAAAAGATGTTGCACTATGGGAATCGTCACATAATTTGGGGAACAGCTTTGGCCAAAGTTTAGCAAGAACTTGCGCGAACGCTGACATGGTAAGGTTCTCCAGCACATATTTATACTGGTAAATAGCACGAGGGAAAAACAACTATTTAAAGAAGTTGGTTCAGCCAAAATATTCAGTTAGCTTGAGTGAATGAGACGAGTGAGTAGGACATGTCTGCATGCAAATCCCCGTAAGTACAAAAATTCCTGCCTACTTTATTACCTTCGTTGGGAATATCCTTTTGAGACTCTGTCGATAGCTTCATACTTCTGGAGTTACAATGTTCGCGTCCTGTAATAAAGCAATACCAGATGTCTGACGACGGTGAAAATTGAAAATGAATCGGACCAATTTTCAAGCTATGATCTCTATTTTTCTTTTCTTGAGTGTGTGTCAGGACTGCCGACATGAACAGCATATGCTAACAAGGGTCTAATGAATGTCTCGTATGCCAACAATGTTAGATTACTCGTACATTCAGGAGGAAATTCTCCTCAGATATCTAAATTTCTTGGTGCCCTTGTTTTTAATACGAGCTACGTGGCTATTTCACCTAAGTTCGGACGTGATCGCTATAAACTAACGTATGTATTTTCAGTTACAAAGAATAGCTATTACCCTTAGTGCTTTTTACAAAAGATAATAATTGTTTTTTATTGTTATTACTATAGATAGATATTTTTTTGTTAAGGCTCATGTACCATTCTGAGCGTCATGTAGCTATAACAGATGTCAATGAACTCAGCAGAGCCGGATCAGCCTTACGGAGAACGTCTTGGCATAGTATGCAAACAGTCAAATTTTACCTCGTATGTTTTTCACTATGCCATTATTAAACATCACAAGAAAGAGAAGACCCAAACGTGATCCTTTTGGTATTACAGACTGCCTGTCGGATGAAACAGAGTCAACGATAACGACTGTCTGCCGTCTACCTCTCAGATAGGCCTCTAACCATGGAAGTAGTCAGTGATTTTTTAGAATAGGTCTTACTTTTTATAACAACTTTTGATTGGATACATGGTCGAAAGGATTCCTAAAATCTATAAATAATATTTCAATGCGACCTTGGTTGTCCAGAGCTACCACATCTGCGTATAGAGCTCCCAGTATGGTTCATTTTCTGCGGCGGAAGCCATGTTCTCGGTTAACAGAGGAGCCATTCTTTTCAATGAAGATCTAAATTATCTAGGAGGGGCAACTTGTCAGCAAGGTTTAACATATATTACAATGCCAGACGAAGCGCTGACTGGTAACGGAAGCTTTATTGTGGAGAAAAACGTAAACAAATGCATAGCCACGAATCTGCCCTCTTCAATCAAATCAAGAACATAAAAAAGGCAGCATATTCACAGAGTGAATGATGAAGAGTGGGGCAAAGCATTCGTCCGTCCATTTGTTCTTGCTTCCGTCCATCCATGCGTCCGTCTGTGTGACCGTCCGTGCGTCCATCCGCCCGTCCATGCGTGCGTCTGTTCGTGCGTCCGTCCCTGCGTTCGTCCATGCATCCTCCCCTGTGTCCATTCATGCGTCCATCCATGCATCTGTCTGTGTGTCCGTTCGTCCATCTATTCAACACTCCAAGTACCACCATCTCGCATCTATTCATCATATTGTTACGGGGGTGAGAAAATGAATGAAATAAATATATTCTTCTCCATATGGAAGCAGCGCTATTCAGCGGACATTCCAAGGACTAAACGAGAGGTGGCACACGCACACTTTCTTACGGCTTGCGCTTCGGGTCTACTTCCCACCTTTAACCACCTCGACTTCATGGTATATACTAGTTCACTGTATTCATGGCACTGCGGCCCAATGCTCGCTAAACCTTTCTAAAACCAAGGAGGTTACGCCCAGCGAGTATAACGTGGCAACCTTTTCCTGTCAGATGATGCTCAATGTACATGCCAATAGCTGCTAATGGGAAATGAGAGACAGGAGTATTCGGTTTTTAGATAGCGCGCACGCCACAAACTTTTTATTGTTCAACAAAGCACAGGAAAAATCTCCCACCGGCACCACCTTGCTGGTCAAAATGTAACACTCGTTACACACTGCGATTACGACTACGAGGGACGAACAAATGCCGCTTCAAGAGGCTTTGCCTCTAAAAGCTCACACGATGAAACCAAGGGGAAGGGGAAGATGCAACTGGTCACCGTTGCAAGAAGCTTTGAGCACGTGATTACAACGGCTAACATAATTCAGCAGCAGATATATACGCAATTTCCTTGTTTGATAACAAAACCGAAATCAACCAGCGAATTTCATAGCATTATTTCTATCAGGTTTCTTGACCAATGTATAAAATGGGATAAAATGGCATGTGCTTGCCATATTAAATGCAGTGTCAGGAAGCTACATTACCCTTCCAAAGCGTGCGTTCATATTTCATGAAAAGACAATTGGCAAAATTGTATCTGTCACTAAAAAAGCCGTGTAATCCCTGCAAGACTGATTACTTTCAAAAGCAGGTGTTAAAAGACTGACCAAGGGCAGGTTCTCTCTATAAAGTTTTGGTGTTGATCCCTCAAAATATCTTGCAAGAAAATAAGGCCACGTCACAGGGAAGAACTGAAGACGTGCATCAAAAGCAGCCACTGCAGTACCCTATTTGCTCGAAGTGTCGCATAACTTGAAGCATACAGACCAGCAGGAGAGTTCCCTTTGCTGGGCGTAACAAGCACGCCGTACTGTTAACAGCCGCACCTACGACGGAATGAAATGTAGGTTAAACGGATTGCCAATGTTCTGTACAAGATACCGTATTAGTGTGGGGAAATGTACTTGGGCTAAACTAGGCGTTGCTTGAACGAAAGGCTTCCATGACCACCAGTGTATTGTCACCAAAGCCATTAGTAGTCATCTTGATATTCTCTGCAAAGAGTGCGGCTACAGTCCCGAATGTAGTGAATATGCCGTGTAAGCCGCTAAACGGAAAAATGAACGCGAGAAATTATGGAGGCTCACAGGATTACTTTGTTAAAAGATGCCGTTTTATTATCAGACAAGAAAACTATGTACCTATCTGCTCCTAAATCATGTTAGTCATTGTCCTCACGTGCTCAAAGCTGTTTGCATCGTTGACAATTTGCATCTTTTCCTTCTCCTCTGTCTCATCTTCTTGGTCTCTTTAATGTAATTGATTTTAACGACGAGGGCTGTTACGTGAGTATGCATTTATTTACTTTCTTCACGGCAATGAAGCTTCAGTTGCCAGTCAGGACTTTGTCCGTTGCGTGTAGGCTTCTGTTGTCCTGGTCTTTTGCGCCGTTAATGCAAGACTGAAACGCGCTTGAATATAACGTAGTGCTGCTACGGTACAAAGTACGTAAAACGCGCTCTATAAACTAAGAGAGTGCTGGACACTCTCTTTGGGAGAGTACAATCGGTTACAATATTTCACTCTTTTTTCCAGCCCCGCCGCGGTGGTCTCGTGGCTAAAGTACTAGGCTGCTGACCCGCAGGTTGCGGGTTCAAATCCCGGCTGCGGCGGCTGCATTTCCGATGGAAGCGGAAATGTTGTAGGCTCATGTACTCAGATTTGGGTGCACGTTAAAGAACCCCAGGTGGTCGAAATTTCCGGAGCCCTTCACTACGGCGTCTCTCATAATCATATGGTGGCTTTGGGACGTTAAACCCCACAAATCTAATCACTCTCTTTTCCAGAGGAAATCACCTCTTGTGGAGGCAGTATACATACAGTGATTCACCCAGAACGGGTCAAAGCACTCCCCTTCAACAAAGTAACATAACGCTGCGCGAAGCAGAGTAGCATAACGCCACCAAAGAGAGTAGCAGTACACCTCACGAAAAAGAAAGAAATATGACAGAACATGACCAAAATTAGACCTTTAGTTGTTTTTGATCGATTTCTCACGCGGATTGTAAGGATGACTGAATACGAGCACTACGACAAAAAAAAAAGAAGAAAAGGGTTGAGAAAAAAAGACCCATTGGCACTCGAGC